CCTACAACTATCTCCTCAGGCTTCATTAGACTCTATTGAAGAGAATAATGCCTGACTCACCTGAAATGCAAGTAATCTGGGAGAGTTCTGGAAGAGTTACTAATTCTGTTTAAAGCCACAACTAAACTTACCAATACAGGAGATTACAGGTTGCAATCCTAGGCTTGCTGTCTGTCAGGCTACAGACCAACACCAACTAACTTGCCATTCATAGGTAAGTCCATTCCATGAACACCCAGGCACCATTTCATGTACACATCATGAGATACTTTAGTAATCTACTGTTCTGGAACAATTCTTCAGTCTTGGAAATTACCTTGGAAAAGGTTTTGTAAAAAGCTTTGTATTCATCTTCTTCAACTTCTTTAGATGGCCTCTGCCAAATTGGTTTTATGTCGTTCATAAGCTCCCAATCCCAAACAGTCTTTTCAACCTATGTACATACACAGCATATTACATACAGTAAGGAATCATGCTTTACTAGAAATCAGTCAGTTAAATAAATCCCACCAAAGAGAACTCTATGTCATAAAATAGCTTGGGAAAAACAAAACTACAAGATCTATATATAGCTGCTGCATTTAAGTGCTATGTAGCGCCAAGCACTTGAAGTATAAGCATATGGCAAAGAGTCTACACTACCCTATGGCCAATATAAATTTACTGCATCCACTGCTAGCAAGGATTTTATTTCAAACCCATTCTGAAGAAAGCTTTCAAAAAAGGGCATATTCAACCCAAACTATTCAGTGTTACTGAAGTTCATTTTCACTTCTAATAGAATTCACTGCATCAAATCATTTGCTCTATTTCAACAAAATCTACCTTATTTCCCATTTTCTTTACTGACCTATCTCATCACACATGTAAACAGGACTGTTTTTGAAAAGCACACACAGTGAATTGCATCTCTGAAAGATAAACTGATGCAAACTGCTGAAATAACTGTCATATGTTACAAGACCTCTGAAGGCTGACAGTTCACCTTTTTAGTTTTTGGTTTCTTTTCTTCCTCCTCTTCTTCAACAGCAGCTTCATCATCATCTGTTTCCTCTTTCTCCTTTGCTTCTTCCTCCTCCTCAACAGGCTCTTCAACAGTTTCTGTCTGGAAACAGCAGAAGAGGGGTTTGGTTTCCTACCAGGTAACTTCCAGTATTCTGAGAAACACTCAGAGTACCAGTTTAACTTGTGTGATTTGCCCATGGCAAGCATTTCTGCCTAGGCAGCTCCTTGTTGAGTTGCACTTATTCATGAAAGCACTGCATTCGTCCAACACACTAGGAGGCCACTCCAGTCAGTTATAAGAATTCAGCTTTAGCAGTATTAGATGCACAGGCTAGCCATAGTCTGAGATGATTTAAAGTTAGCGTCACACTGAAAGGATAGTTAAGCTGTTACAACTACTATTAAAATACTGCCCTGTTTAAGGACATGTACAGCAGTCCTGCCTTACACCTAAGCAAAGCTTCTAACTACCAGACACTCTACTGCATGGCCAAGAGAACATTTTTCCCTAGTAATTAGCACAGGTCTTGTCTCCTTTGGCAAAACGTTCTTTCTAAAGAATCAAAGCCAAGTCCCTTGAAAATTTGTTTTTCAAGCTAGATTTCAGAGCACCACTAGCTACCTTAATTACTAGCTAGTTTTTCCTTCCCACTGAGTCAAAGAAGTTTAGAAGCTTTGGACAGTGCACCTTTTTTTTT